AATGAAACCACTCGATTTTGAGTTTATTTTTATTTTTCAACATACTCTCCTCCGAGCTCAAAACACTTTTTCCATCGACCCGGTAATGCTTCGATACCCGTTTTAAAAAAATCTTCGTCTAACTTCTCAAAATAAGCGTCCACGGCGGCTATGACCTCTTCAATAGTGAAAAAATGTTTACCACCTAAAAAATTTTTCAGCTTTAGGAACAGATAAAAGTCGGACGGTGCTAATTAGATCCGGTGAATATGGGGAATGAGGTAACAATTCGAAGCCACATTGATGGATTTCTGCCATAGATTGCACAGAGGTGTGAACGCGCGCATTGTCCTGAATAAACTAAAATGTGCATACTTGTTGCTACATAATGTAACTACAAAATGAGGGTACTTATAAAAAAAAAAAACTAATGACTTTAACCATGTTAGGCTAAGAACTTTTCAAATGACCCTCGTAGGAAGCTATAACTTCCTATAAGTACACTTTTAATATTAAGTACTACTACTGAGTACTTACGTCGTTCGATTTAGATGATTTTTTTTAATCTTCTTTGGCGATAGCGTTTTTTTTTAATTTCTTTTCACAACGTTTAAATAATTCATTACACTAAGTAGACATGCAGCTGTTGCCGCAACAACCTCGACGTCCGCCACGTTTGCGAGTGGCCCGGTAAATAAGTAGGTATGAGGGCTGAGTGCAAAACGACACTCACTCGCGTCGACTCCCGTCGACGCTGACGCGGCAATATTTTCGGCATCGCCAGTGGCAGGGGAAGCGACTGAATGTAAACGTAACATTTATGTATTACAACTTTAAAGTCCGTAAAAGACTGAATCTTGTTTAGGAATGTATATTTAAATAACTTTTTTGTCTGGCGCTAAATGGCGTTGTAGAAAAATTAATCTTTTCAACAACACTATCTATTAAGCAGTAGACCTGCCAAAATACAGTAATCCCCCTTTTAACACGTACTCTAATAACGCAAATTTCATATTATGGGGAAATCAATCCCGTATAATAGGGGCATTCCCCCACATATCGCTGGGATTTCTCACATTTTATTTCTGTACCGTAAATTTATAATGATTTGTTCATGTTGATTTCTTTTGTGCAGTTCATAATTCGTTTTTTTAGTATATTTGCATAAGTTTTTTATTTAGAATGTTCATAGTTTAGTTTTTATTTTAATATAACGTGCATATTTCAGTCTTAATATAGTAATAATTTATACGTAACGCGTTATACGGGAATATTTATACTACGCATTTTTCTATAACTCGGAACCAATCTACCACGTTATATTACTGTAAATTCTTTCAATAATAAGCAATTACAACTTTTTATAAAAAATAATATTTCTGAGGGTCCTGTACTCCTGTTCCTTAACCCACCTTTGGAACCGCAGCTGACTATCACTCGGTTTTATTATACGTTTAGAAGTTTTCGATCGAGAGGAAATGATTGACGAAATTAGGCCCTGGCTCTTGGACATTGTGTATTCCCCTAAAGTCCCCGAGGACTTTAGGGGAATACACAATGTCCAAGAGAATGGTTGGAAAAGACCGCCAGTACGTTAAGAGGCCTTTCACATTTTTTGGCCTAAAAGCAGTGTCTTTGGGGTTCTGGTTCTAAGAAATTAAGAGTCGGATATACATTTTGATTCCTGAATTATATAGATAGATATCTAATCTTAAAAACAACATCTTTGAAATGTTAATTTTCTCTTTGTTAGTCTTCCTAATTTCTAAAATAGTTTATTCAAAAACGCTAAATGACAGAAGTTTGGGGTCGTCGTTCATTAATAAACAAACATAAATTGATATGATATTTGTACTAAAACTTGATAATTACTTTATAAATTGAGACAGCATCGTCCATTTTTTCATTTTCAACTTAAATATCTAAAAAATTGATCATAATGAAACCCGAAATTTCAACAAAACTTTGCCATAATCATTTCTAATTTTCTCATAAATACAACGAAATTTTTGCATAAAAAAAACATAATAATAAAGTTAATATACTTGTAAATTAGAAATATAAAAAAAATATATAAGTTTCTAAGAAAAAATAAACAATAATAATAATTTAAAGTTGTATAAATTCCGTTGCGCCAAAAGTAAATTCTCAGTGGCGCGCTAGCGCTCGTCGAGGTAGGACCTATGCCATTTTTTACAACACCGCTAAGATAAGACATTCGTCAGTGAACATTAGTATAGAGCGACTAAACCATTTTGATAATTTAAGTAATATTTAATTAATTTTGCTAATATATACTTATTTCTACGAATATTAATTTAAAGTTGTTGTTAAATATATATATACATATATATATATAATAATAATATTTATTTTAGCATGCCAAGACAAAAGTACAGTTATGCTACAAATAAAACCTACCTACCCTGCTGGACTATGAAAAGCACAAGAGCATGGTATTTCGTCACACTAATGGCAATTAATTGTTAAAATTAAAAAAGAGAACATTTTAGTATTTTAAAAAATAACGCTTATCTGAGAGAAAATGTAAGAAAATGTAAACCAATTTTACTCTATGTTTATTTTGTAGCTTTTTTCTAAATTAAAATAGGGTTATTGTTTATAAAAATACCATTATTATTTTTACGTACATTTGTCTTGTGTTATATAGTGTATATCATCTAGTATGCAATGTGGATTGTAAATAAATTACCAAATTATATATAAATTATATTCCTTAATGTTTAGAGATATTTTATCCAATTTTATTTTATTTTACACAATACAGATATTTCTAAATTGTAGCTATTCTGTTATTATACTCGTTGGACTTTCATTACTGTACAGTTATGTCAAATAATTATGCGTGTTTGGGTGAAAAGTCAACAACATTATAAATGTTTTTATTTAGAGACTAGCTTTTCCCATATTCTCGCGGCTTCGCCCGCGTGAATATGGGATATATAGGTTATCGCGCGTTTAAAGATCCGTGTACAGTATTGGGACGTTATATATAAACCTTCCTCTTGAGTCTATCTATTCTGTCTATTAAATAACAACGAATCAAAATCTGCGTAGTTTTTTAAGATCAAAACATACATAGATCTATTACATGTGTAGATGATATTTTAACCGGAAATTGAAGCCGTTAAAATGGTATTGGCAGATCAGTTGGAATCATCGGTATTCTTGGTATATAAGCTTCAATTCTTTAGTAAGCAATATATCCAATGGGACGCCATTGCACATGTTCGGCGGGCTTAAATTTCATGACTGGATCATGCTTTTGAAAAATTCCTTCCTCAAGTTTGAGCATTTAGTGTGGGAAATCACTTCTGTGCTTCCATAAAAATGAGCTCTCAAATTTGTCAGTAGTTTTAAACTTTCAATTAAAGTCCATAAGGGAGACGATGTTAATGACACAGAGAGTCTTTCAGAAATCTCCAGCAAAAGTATAAAAGTAATCCCGCCAATGAGAGCAGAGGTGTTTCTAAGGTCTTTTAAGGTTCTGTCCAAAATCTCTATAGCTCATGGTGATTTCATTACATATAATCAATGAGGCGTCTTATAATAATTTATAAAAAGGTTTGACATTAACAATTAATTATTTATCAAGAATCAAGAATCGACCAACCAAGAACGAGAAGCTGCAATATCAGCCAATATCATGCGGCGACGTCAATGATGCAGGAACAGCAATGATAGCAGTTGAAGCTTTTTTTTTTACAACTTAGAAAGGAAAACAAGCTGAACTGTCGCCTATATACATGAGCAGTACCTGCCATGTTCATATCAGCACATTGTTTCCCTCATGCGTTACCATTCCTGAAAACTCGGGTGTTATTCCCCTGTATCTTGTAAATTCACTATATATATATACACAGGTAGTCTATATAGATAGATATACATATACACAGATAGTATACCCTGAGAAAGGTCATAGACTACTTTATAGTGCGAAAAAAGTATTGTAAGGGATTAAAAGCGGAGATGAAAGGTTGTATAAAAGTATCGTCATTGTTTAATTGAAACAAAGAAACTTTTTTAGGTTATAATCTAAATATATTTCCTTTATTTGGTCAATTTCATTATACCACGCTGACGAAGTCGCGGACACACCTAATATACATATAAAGATGGGACCTTTAAATCAAAACAAAGCCTTGAAAACAGAACTATTATATATAAATAAAATAATTATATTGTATCTTATAATAAATTATATTGTATCTATTAATAAATAAACTGAATTAATATGTAAGAAGAATTAATTAGTAAATTTATGTTATAGTAATTTCATCTTCCATCCTTATCCCAATTATTTGTTACTCATATTACTTAAGGTTTTGGCTTTTAGTTGTACAATCGGCCAGCATCCTGACATCAACCCTCTAGGAATAATATAATAAAAAAATATGGTCATTATTAGCACTTTGATAATTAAGATAAATCACGTTATTTAAAAAATCCAATAAGTAGTCTCAGTTAAGTAGAAACATATCACATTATTAATTAAAATATTACAAGGATCAAAATGGTTCATACTAAATCCACACCGATTGTGCTACACGTTTATTTGCGTCTGTGTGCGTGTATTACTGTATGTGTGCGTAAATCCATACCATCAAACCTAAAGTTGAGCGGCATCATTTTGTAAGAGTCCTCTAAGTGTCTGCGTTTGCATAGTTTCCAACGCGACATTAAATGAAAAACTTGTGAACAAAACATTTATCAAATTAAGGGAGTGTAACCTCCCTACTGCCGATGGTACATAGTTCGAATATCACAGGATATGCAGCAATACATTTGTAATCAGAAGTATGATTTTATGAATTAATTTGTGGGTATTTTTTAGAAATGGAAATAATCCTTTATTTTAATAAACCTAATTAATATAAGCACTTTTATTTATTATTCTACCGCTCATTCGGAACGCAAAACTCATCACAAAAATGTGCAATAAACTTACGCTTTGTATGTACATATAAATAAATAAGAGAAAATAAAATTATTAAAGAGAATTTATTAGCAACCTTAATCTTTACATGTATTTTGAATTCCTTAATTAGTTTTTTCGCTTTGCACTCTCCGTTGCTGAACCATTTCTCTAATATTGTCTTCGCTTTCTTTTAAATTGTTTTCTAAATACTCCTTGTTTTTTTGGAAGTCACTAGCACGTTTTGTTAACTGTGTATCTCGATTTTTAAGATTATTTTTAACCTCTTCTAAATCCGTAAGAAGGAACATCCTACCCACTGATTCATAAGTTTTTGCTCCAGGTGGATAGCAACTGATGGCACATTGAGTAATGTCTACATGATGCATACACCGTTTAAGTAATTCTATTTGTGAATCAATAAAATGAATTTTTTTTCTTGTATCGACCATTTTGATTTGCAAATCAGTAAAAGCTTTCTTTAACTCCAAATCTACAGATTTAGCCATAATAGTAATATTTCTTCCGTAATAGTTTATTTATTTAATTCACAGTATTGCACACAACACAGATTATCAGTCAAAACTTCTACATTGTCGTAGAAGATCACCACTCACTGTCAAATTTATGTCAAATGTTTACGTTAGCACACAGAGTATTTTTTAGACATTAATTTATTAATAAATTATTGAGTCGATATTTAGTCATTCTCATAAACTTTTTCATTCTTATTAAATACGCAGCATATATTTCAGAGATTTTACCATTAGTATCTAAACTACGCCGAGCATGTATAATAAATACTAGTTTCTTCCAGCGACAAATAAGTAAAAATTAAAATGTTACTATTGCGGGTACATATAAATACATATAAACAGCGGGTACATATAAATTCTGACTTATTAAGAGTTGCATTAGCATCAATCTACTCACAGTTCAAAAATATGTTACGAGTAATTTCATGCGAGCTCAAAAACTTTGAAACTAGACAAATATACTAATTTTACCAACAGATTGATATAATACAGGTTCTTAGTTTTAACTTTGAAATATACTATGTATGTACCAATTTATAAAATATATTTAAATATTTCTACGATTTGTTTAGTACCTATAGTAAAAATTGCAATTTGGCACAAGTTTGTATTTACCTTTATTTGGCACTCTACTTCTAAGAAGTCCATTAATATGTTACATTTTTGACACTGTACTTATAACTCAATATAAAATGCTACATTATCAGAAAACTAGTATGTAAATAATTTTAATGTTTATGTCATAAAGGCACAAATTTGTTTAAGCAAAATACAGTCACAACTTGATCTGTCTATCACATCAATTTATTCTAACAATCTCTCTCTATTTGTTTTCCATGACAAATAGGTATTCCAAAACAAAGCAACAACTTGAACAAGCAGTACTTGATACTGCAAGGGTATATAGTAAAAATTTACAATCTGAACCCATGGCCATACATAGTAATTTGTTTTTAACACATCATAATAATTGGCATGGATATCTTTTTTAACATTATTCCAAGATTTGCCTTGCATTGTCCCCACTCCTGACAGAATTAGAAATAGAAATGCAGGTGCAAATACCAGTTGATCAATGAATACTTTCTTAATAGCAACTGATTTTCCACTAGAACCAATGTGTTGATTAAGTAGTCCATACCAAAGACGTAGAGCAGGACCCTAAAAAAAAAAATCTTTATTTACTAGGCAAATATTATTTCATGTCAGATGACTGATCTGATCATAGTAGTCACTGTAAGGTTAAAATGTCACAGATAAAATATTGTATAAATATATTACCAATTCCATTAATTTTTAATCTATCAATCAATGATTGAAACCATTTGTAGAAAAGACATCTGACAAAATAGACAGTCCTATCATGTTTAGACAAGGTACATTGACTATTTATTATCATGCTGTTTGTAGTAAATTAATTAGGCTCTAAGTGATACAATAAAAAAATGACAGTGGTCCTCGGAGAGGTTTCCAGAAGGGATATTAACTGATATTGAATTAGAAGTTTTTATAGACTATAATCATTCATATCCATACATATATATTTTCGCATTTGAAATTTTATACCTATATTTTGAAACAAAAAATAAAAGTAACAATAATGAATACTTACACCTACAAATAATCCAATGGAAGAAAACTGGAGAGTCCTTTGTAATCAATTTCCTTAATTATTTTCTTTTCAATTACAGTTTGAGATATTAAATCACCTGCGCCCATGAGAGCACCGGTTTGTACTGCTTGTACCAAATACGGCCCGACGTACCAGGGCCTGCTGATATAACTTGAATATATTACGAAACCTCATTGCTACTTGCATGTCCTGAAAAATATAAGTAAATTTAATAAATAATACAATTATTGCACACATATGAATTTCAACATATATAAAATTATAAATGTGCAAGTAGGGATGTTCACACAAAAACTACCGATCATCATGAAATATTGTACACATGTTCTTGAGGTATTACAATGAACATAAGCTACTTTTTATTAAAAAAAACTAGTGAATGAATCAATGCGAGGGAAACCGCTGGTAAAAGCTAGTAATACATAAATATTAAATGTTTATTATTATAATTTATAATATATAGTATACATACAAAATATCTTAAATTGCACCATACATACCAATTTTTATAAAAAGTCGCAGTAAAATAATTTATAAACGCATTGTATTGTGTCACGTTATGATATACAGAAATCTAATATTTATGATAGCTTTAAAACAAATCAGTTAAATTTTACTTTAAAATGAGTTCATGTGTTCTTATCTAAAAAACAATACTGTTACACCTTGTAAATTGAATTCTAATGGTTTTGATTTTGAATTCAAAGTTGTTTTCTTCTTCTGGCTCTAGGAACTGAAAGTTTGACACATACATGACATTGGAATGGAAATATCAAAACAAAACTATTCACCACCACAGCAATAACACACTAGCCATAATGTCAATGTCATATGATTATTGACAGCTGACAGATATATCACTTTTTTTCTCTTTTTTTTTGGTTCCGGCGGTTTGTGTTCCCATTAACCATAAATATCACTTTCACAAAGAGAGCGCATAGTTTATCTGTGCAGTGTGAATACTATAAGTATGTGTATGTATTCCTAAGCGCCTAAGAACAAATAACGTTTATTGTACATTGAAATTTTATTAACTATTGTTTTTATTTAGTGAATAATCTTTCTATATATTTTCGAAATTTCCAATACGTTGGTGTAGACATTAAATAAAATAGTAAATAGTTTTCACTTAGACTCTGTTAAAGTGTAGAAAACTGCCATGGCCAAAGGACATGTATCCAAACTTATGGCACCAACATAAAAATGTCAAAAAAACTAATCTAAAATATTATTGGCGTAGTTTCCCTTCAGTGAATATTATTAACGAGTTTAACCTTAATTGTTCTACAATAACCAAATATTCAGCGAAACAACAAAAGATATGGATAAAAGAAAGCTTTCAACTGCAGGGGACAGTCTGTATCAAATACTTCAAGTTCCCAAAAACTGCAACCGCAGATGATGTAAAGAAAGCTACAGAAAAATGGCATTAAAATACCATC